CGCTTTGCTTGCTGTATAACAAACATTTTATCCGTTTGGTATTACTTCACTGATTGATTTATCTTTCCACATTTTATCGCTTTCTAGAGGTAATGAGAAGTAGGAAATAAATAGTGTACACTTGAATTCGTTGTTTAAAGACTTGTAGCAGGCATTATGCACTTATTTGCTACTTGTGTTTGTCTCCTTTGTTGATGATCTATGATGTCACTCAATTGAGATAGCGACTTCGATCTTTACATGCTCCTTGTAAGATTTCTTGGCTTATTTCTTTTGACAATAGATGATGTCACTCAAATAGAATTGAGATAACAACTTCAATCTTTGCATGATTCACTTAGGATTTTATCATTTTTCTTTATTAACGATCGATGATGTCACTCAATTAGAATTGAGAAAATAACTTCGATATTTGCATGTTCCCTTTCAAACATGTCCTTAGGACCATCATTGTATGATAACATTATGGATTAGATTTATGATAGTCTCCCTTAGATGTTTTTCTTTCTTTTGCGTCCTTAAAACTAAAACCTTTTTCTTGGCAAATGCATAAAACATCCAACAACTTTCAAATCCTTTTTCAAGGTAAACAAAATTAACCTATGCAAACATTTTTCCGCCTTCAGGCATTTTATTTCAAAATTTTCCAAAAATAACATGTTAATTCATTTTTGGGCTGACACATGAGTCTCCAAAGGTCGAGTTGCGACAGAAAGAGAAATTAATATTGTTCATTAAAAAACACAAACCAAACTGAAACATGTGAGCCGAACTATGATGCTCTGATTCCTTAAAAGGGATACGTAGGCATCTGGCTGCGGGGCTCAGCCGAGCGAAACTTTGTAAATATTTCCTTTTTCCCTGTATTTTCTTTTGCATGCATTCCCTCTTTGCATTTTTCTTTTTAGCTCGTAAGCTTTAGATTAGAACACACCCTTTGATTAGAACAACAAGAGTGGATATCGTAGAGTACTACATGCGTGAGGGGTGCTAAAACCTTTCACTTCCCGTAGGATAAAAAACATTCGATGACGACTTCATTGATTTCATCTCAATGATTTGTTCAGCCGATTATGTCAATATGTGGTGTTTTATTCCCAAGACATCTCAATTAAAAGACTTCACCCCTACACGCCTTGTGCTGAAGGGCTATAATATGAATCTTACTTTCATATGAATACCAAAAAAGATCTCGACAACACTATAGAAAGGACAACCTAAGGAAGATTCTGGCTATAAGATAGATAAATCTCACCATAAAATAAAAAGGTTTACATTATCATCATTCATTTGATCAACTCAGCTGTAATAATGATGTTGTCTTAATTAATTAAGCATGACTCTAATAAAGGGGAAATATCCATTAAAAAACTATGTATGATCCAATCTCTAACTTAAAGCATCTAACACATTTTGGCCTCTAGCTTAGGGGACTGTGAACATTCTTGTCTTTCCCTTTAAAGAACTTATTCCCTTTGGGCCTTATGCTGAAGGGATTATGTGCATTATGGTCTCTCTCCCCTAAAGCACTTTGCCCCTTTGGGTCTCATGCTTGAAGATCTATGTACATTTCGGTTTTTTTAGTGGGTACCAACTTGGGAATAAAGTGATTGGACGGGGTATGAACCTAAACATGCATGATCTCAACATAAATAGATAAAGAAAATAGGCTGAACCAAGACAGACACGTCTAATTGATGCCTGATACACTTCAATGTGCTAACATAACATTAAGATCGCATTAACGGTCATAAATGATTATTCTCAAATAATGTAACACGAGGTTTGATGTTCATTCATTGTCCCTAGCTAGACAAGGAGACATGCACAATAATGAGAAATGTAATTTTCATAAAGGAATAGAAGCTCAAAAGATCCTATATAAACTAATAAGCGCTGCACATAAAAGACAAATTACTAATTCTATTTATACTCGGATAAAATATTGTGACTCTTACTGGCCTAGCTTTGGTAGAGTTATAAAATTAGTGTAATCTATATGTACAAACTTAAATGAAAATTTATCTCCTATGGTGAAATCTATAACCATTAGGTTGATTCTGAATCTTTCCATTCCATACAAATGGACCATTCAACATCTAGAAGCCTATAATACATTCTTAAATGGATGCCTTGAAGAATTATACATGGAACAACCACATAGGTTTGTGGTTTGTCATCCATATCTTATATGAAAACTGAACAAAGCACTTTATAACCCCTAACAAGCTCCTTGACAATGGTTTCAAAAACTTCAGGACGATCTTGTTCATCATGGTTTCAAAACTATCAAATGTGACCTATCATTATTTACCTTGTCTTAAAACAAGCACATTGTCTAACTTCTTGGGTATGTTGATGATATCATCATCACACTTATCTAAGTCTCTTTCATTCAACAACCCATTATTAAACTTAACATTGTTTTCTCTCTCAAGCATTTAGGTGATTTTGATTATAGAGATCCACAAGAACTCCAATGATACACTTCTTATCTCTCATTCCAAATACCCAAGGGAGCTGCTAACGCAAACTAATATCAATATTATTTACACTCCTATGAAGTTCACTTGTAGATTTAACAAGACTTGGTCAAAATTATTACATGGCCTTCTTTATGTGCATGTTAGTAGTTGAAGTCTAGCAATATGCCACTTTAACTTGACGAGAGATTTCCTATGTAATTAACAAGACGTGTTAATTTACGTTTATCCTTATCGAAGCTCATTAGGTTGTTGTTAAGAGGATGCTTAGGTATCTCAAAAGAACTATTAATCATGAGTTACTATTTCACCCTATTTCTATCATTACACTCATTTTTTTGAAGGTCTGATGTTAAATAGGAAGCCAATTCTGATGGAAAAAGAAGTACATCAGGAGTTGAATTTTATTTTTGCCCTAACCTAGTCTCATGCAAGGTTGTTAAGATCGAGATCTTATCTAAGATCGTGAGAGAATAACAAGATCGTAAAATATAAAATCATAGTTAAGATAGGAAGGTCTTACTCAATTATTTCTGTAAGATCAAAAGAAGATAAAAAGATCGTAAAACATAAGATCACAACAAAAATCATAAGATCCTATTAAAATGAAAAAATAATAGTATATATTTGAAATACTTTTACATGATATATGTTAATAGACAAGGGTATTCGTGAGAAAATGACTATTTTTCATATTCTGTAGATATTTATGATTGAAGTTTTATTGAACATTTGTTAATGTTTAGACATTAGAGACATATTTGGTCAATTACTAGGATTATCATAAGTCAAGTAGCTAAAACAAATCCTTCACCCTAAATCTACTAAAACTTCAATTCAAAAGGCTCACATTCATCTCCGACAAACCTTAATTATTGTGCCTCGGCATCTTGTCATCCTTCTCATCTTTTAATGGTGGTGGTCAGAAAACGGCCAGTCATGGTCTAAGTTGGCAAAATTCACACAAAATCAATGATTTTACGGGGTTTTTTTTGTTACAGTTTTACTATAACACACGATTCTATTTAAGATCCGGATCGTTGTGGGTGAGTGAGATCGTAAAATCTTAATATTTTAAGATCTAGATCAAGATCTTGACCACCATAATCTCATGGTGGTCCAAAAAACAATATGTTGTAGCTCGATCTAACACTAAAGATAAATATAGAAGCTCATTAGATGTATCAACTGAACTTCAATGGATTCAAACTGAAAAGTTGTATGTTTAAGTGTAGCCTCCTCTATGTATGTGATAATCAACCAGTTGGGTTATTGACTTAAAAATATCGTACATAACAAGACCAAGCACATAAAGATTGGTCTATTTTTTGTGTGAGGCAAGGTATTTTCAAAAAACTCTCTATAGTCTGTGTTCCTGGAGCAAATCAATGGGCAGGTGATTCACTAGTTCAAAGTGACTGATCATGCTTCACAAGCCCCGTTGAATTTGTGTGTGTGTGCAGGGGGTAAGTGATCATTTGCACATTAGTAATGTAAAATGAATAACTAACAGATAGAGTAGGTTATTCAATAATTGAGAGTTGTCGATAATTGGTAGTTACAATTAGGGGTTGTAAAACGGTCCCGGTCGATCAAACATATCCGTTTTGTTCATATTTTTTTTGTAGAGCAAGTCAAAATTTTAAGCTTGCACCCTTTAATGTGTCTGTCCTACCCACCTTTTTTTTATGTGAGCGCTGACTTTTACATACAATTTTTAGGATTAGAAGGTTCAATGTCCTAGGATCTATCCTACCTCGTCCTCACTTTTTTTGTAGAATAAATCAAAGTGTTAAGTCCACATTCTCAAATATGCTCTCTCTCTCTCTTCTACTTTATTTTTTATGATTTTTCACAAAACAAATTTAAACGGAACAAACATACTCCTTTGTTACTCTAATTAAAACTTTCTTTAACAAGTCTTTTATCCCGCATTATGAGTGTCATTGCACCTATATAACCGTTTTAGAAGCAATGAAAAACAATTAACAAAATTGTAAATCAAAATCTACATTATCATCCTCACTACTCTAATAACTAATAATGAATTTTTTTCTTTATTTAATTACCATAACCAACTTCAAAAGAATTATGAAAGAATGATATTTTGAGATGGGGAAATTAATAGTTAGAGTTAAGTTAGAATTTTAATATATTAATTCAAGGATGATTCTATTTGCAAATCTCTATTTTTTGAAAACTCAACCAATACTTTATTTTTGTCTCTCTTTTCTTACCACATCACCAATATTTGATAATATATCAAACTATTTTTCCTATTTCTTTCTCTCTCTAGATATAAATAAGATGTTTGGTTGTCAAAAGATAATTTTCTATTAACTATGTATTAATATTCTTGAAAAAGAAAAACTAAGTCATGAGATTGGGGTTGGTTCTAGACATCTATCTGACCAGTCCCGACATTTGTGCTTACTACTATCTCTAACACACACCTCAACTATACTCTATATCTATACATTTCATTTCTCAACAAAACTTCATCAAAGATAGTGCCCCATGAACTCCCACAAACAAACCCTTTTCAGTTATGACCCTCAAATATGGAAACAAGATCATAGAACACAAAACAATATCATAGGTGCATCATCATCATCTTCAAATAACTCTTCATCTTTGCCTAATTTCCGTGGCAGCAGAAACTACAACAAACTGCTTGAGGATGACGATCTAGTCTCTACTGTAATACCTGCTGTTACGGTTGTGTTGGAGGGCCGTTCGATCTGCCAACGCATAAGTCTTCATAACCATGATAGCTACCAAAGTCTCGCCATGGCTCTACGGCAGATGTTTGTGGATTGCACCGACGAGGACGGCAGCGGTGGTCATCATCATCTTGATCTGTCTAATGCCATTCCTGGTCATGTTATTGCCTACGAAGACATGGAAAATGATCTTCTTCTTGCTGGTGATCTTGCCTGGAAGTAAGGATCTCTTGATTTTATTTGTTAATTAATTATCATCTATGAAGCACAGATATTAGAAACACAAACACTAATACACTGACACACATTTTTTTTCTCCAGAAGCCTTGGTGCTACCAAGATTATTGTACTATGATGGTTAGTTATGTATTTGTGTTTTATGTTAATAGAGATTTTGTACGTGTGGCAAAGAGAATTCGGGTACTTCCGGCGAAGGGAAACTCAAGGAAAAGAAGTATAAGCTAGCTTCAAGATCAATACTGAAACATGGCTAATCGTGATTTGTACTTTGTTAATTAATTTTTATGAGTTAATTAATCCAATTGAAAGTACACGTAAAGTTGTGTTTTGTATGAATAAAATGTCGCGTTTTCCCATTTGCAGTACATGGTTTCTTTGATTATTTGTTCTCTATTATTTTTACTATTATAAAAATACTAAGAATAAGGTGAATTAAAACATTAGCACAAGGGTGAGTTTTCAAGGTGATTTACTATTTTTACTTTATTACAAGAGTTCTATTTATAGAACCGTTCGTGTTAGATGCAAGATAAATAAGTAATTTAAGTACACTCTATTTTATGGTGTTTCGTATTTCACTTAAGTATGTGGTATTTTACAATGTTCTGTATTTCACTTAAGTGCCCTGAACCTTACAATATTTTGTATTTCACTTAAACTCATTGTACCTTAAGGTATTTCGTAATTCACTTAAGTTCACTATATCTTACGGTGCATCATAATTCACTTAAGTATAGTGTATCTTACAATGTATCACATATTTATCTAATTAATGTTAGTGCTTCACAAGATTGCATAATCAAATAAACTTCACTTATTTATTTATCTCTCAATGATTTGTCCTTATGAGTGTGACCCTGTAGGTTCTTGTGACATTAGCAATTATACTAAACCCCACTTAGACATTTACTTTGGGTATCACTGAGACTAGGCCATTGGATTGACTTGACTCGCACAGATCAAAATAAAAAATTGCCATTGTGCTTTATTATTTTCAAATGAATGGGAAAAGAGCGAACAACTCAAAAAGAGAGGGAGAGAGTCTACGTTCGGGGGTTGGTTATACAAAGGGAATGTATTGGCACCCTAAACATCTATGGTACTCCGCATGAACCACTTTGAAAATTTGTGTATTTTGGCTATAAATGTTGTATACAATAGATTGTGGGGATGAGAAAAGAAATATATTTTTTTATGATTTTTACACCCGACGCGGTTGTGACCCTTTAGTGCCTACGTACCACCTTCTGTGCAATAGGGGATCAGGATACTCGTAGTTCACCTTTAAAAATTTTAAAACACAAGTGTGTTGATTAATTTTAAGAGACGAGACATTATCGTCTTATCCGAGTGGAAGAACGTACTTACTACCCACGATTATGAGAAAGGAGAATTTGCATCATCTCAAAGTGGAGGATATAGCTTGGATTTTAAAATCAATAAAGTCTCACTCAACATCCAAGTGGAAAATATCTCACTTCACTATATATCTTAGAAGTATAGTAGCTCGCATCACTACAAGGATTGACAAGAGTCTAATCTTTTGAGAAAATTTTTAAGGTAAAAAAGTCAAAGTGGCAAAATGGTTTGAATGAGATTGATTGACTTTTAGTTTTCTCACAAAAATGTCAAAGTATTGTTAAATTGTTTATAGTTTGATTAAGAAAATATTTTTGAAAATATATGGACCTAAGTCCAAGTTTATTACAAAAGTTGTTCAAGTTTAAAAACAAGAATAGTTTTCAAAGGAGGAAGTAGATTTTTGAAATTAAAGAAGATGGAAAGAGATGAAGGGATTATCCTAAAGTATAAGGTAAAAGTTAAGGAAAAGAACCGTCAAGTGAGCAAAGATGAAAATAGTATGAAATGTAAATGCTAAAATAAATGTGCTTAAATTAAAAGCATAAAGTAAAAGCACAAAATTAAGTCTATTGTTAGAAATTAGAAATTAGTTGAATGACCATCTTGAAACTTGTATTTGAAACTCATTAGATGATTGATAATATCAAAGCCTCTCAACAACAAGTTTTGTTTCCTTTTTGTCAAGTATATCATTCATTTAAATTCTCAAGGCAACCGTAAATGATCAACGATGTTTAAGTGATTCACTTTGACCAAAGCTTGTGAAGATTCTATTAGAGGATTGATAAGACCAAAGCCTCCTAACAATGAATCTCGAGGTTATTGGCTTAAAGAATTCAAATTAACATACTTGGGCTTACAAACATAGATTTGAACCACGAATAATCATTTCTCGAATCCGAACAAAATTTAGCACTATGTTAAGCAATCGTAAGTGGACTTATATAGAAGTCGCACCTATTTTGAGGCCGGTCAATAGCAATTTATTTGTCATATGTTTGGAGTGATGATATGTAGATCATCCTCTAACAACATTTAGCACAAAAGGAAGAGGATGAGATGAAGAGGGGAGGGATAATATTTGAAATAAAAATTTAATCAAACTATCATTAAAATTATTCATCCATTTTGGCGGAATTAAACTCAACACCCAATATCCAATGATGTTAATGAAGTTCATGATCAAAAGTCAAAATAGTTAGAATATGTACAGAAATAAAATAGTATTTAAAATAAAAGAAAAATGTTTTTTTAAATTGTTTTTTAATATGGAAATAAGGGGAAAATAGCAACTATATTCAAAACACTCAAGGAAAATTAAGTGAGATCATGGAATAATCAGAAATGAACTCAAATATTTTTATGAATTTTTTGGTAATTTTTTAAAGTCAGAAACTGTTTTTGAACTAATTTTTTTCTCAAATAAGTGAAAAAAGATTTTTAAAAAATAGTAAAAGTCAGAATAAAATTCTAAAAAATTTTCAGAAAGTCAGAAACAATGAAAATAATTTTTATAAAAAGTTTCAGAATTTAAAAATGTCAAAAAGTATTTTTTAAACATTTAAAATAAAGCAAACAAAGTAAAAAATTATGAAAAATATAAAACCTTAATATAAAAATATGAGAAAATATTCATAAAGTCAGAAATAATTCAAAGTATTTTTGTACATATTTTTTATAATTTTTGGATAAAAAATAAAAGAGTTATGGATTTTTTGAAATTTAAACAAATTTTATAAAAATAAATAAATCAGAAATAATGTGAGGCGTTGGATCCAATTCACTAAAACATGCTGGCACATCAAGTGGCTTAGAAATGAAGATGTATGTTGATCCCTGGTTAACAAACGCGCACTGAAGTAATGAAAGTCAAGCCAATCACAACATTTCAATTGTCACGCTTTCATTGGTTGAAGAGGCCACGTAAGTCATCTTCCAGCTACCTTGCAACTAGGGCGAAATCATTATCCTTAAATCTGTAAATTTAGACGTTCATGTAGGATCAAGCGCTTACCAGTGAGCTAAAAGCAATTGCTTGTAGCCAAGGTGCTACTCTATTTCCTTATAGAGAATCTAACAAGGGGCCTACCTGGCCCACCTAACACACCTGTGTAGGAGCCCATGGGGGGATGTTAAGCCCTTCGAATCCCTAAGGTTGACATTAGATATTTTAATCCAATAATCTCCCCCCCAGTGTCAGCCTGGGGGATTCAAACCCATGACCTTGCTCTGATACCACATGTAGGATCAAGCGCTTACCACTGAGATAAAAGCAATTTCTTGTAGCCAAGGTGCTACTCTATTTCCTTATAGAGAATCTAACAAGGGGCCTACCTGGCCCACCTAACACACCTGTGTAGGCGCCCATGGGGGGATGTTAAGCCCTTCGAATCCCTAAGGTTGACGCTGGATATTTTAATCCAACAACTCATAGTGGTATCATTAGACGCGTCTCTTCAAGACGATCACAACCATATCCTCGCGCCAAATTTATATAAAAACCATGTTACTCGATTTGAAAAAGATCAGAGATGTTTTAAAAAATTTGAAATCGAAAACAGAAGTATCAAACGCATTGATTCACAAAAATTGAGTTAATAGTAAGCATTAGTGATCATCGTAGACCATTCCAGTAATTTAAGTTAGAAGATTTGTTGTCTTAAACTACCTGAACGAAGACAAATGAAGTTGCTCTGTGAATGGACTTGGCTAGCACGATTCCGGGTACCTCAAGGCTTGATTCTTCTTCTATTAGCTTCAGGGAAGTTCAAGGATGAAAGATCAATGAAGAAATTAAATTGAGAAGTGGAGAAAATAGGAATTCGAAATCTCAAAAAAGGGTGTTATGGAGGAAGTTTGACAAAGTGATTTTGGCTCTTCAAGCTTGAGAAAATGAATGAGGTATGACCCATTATTTATAGGTAAACGAATGGGATGCTCAAGCGTGAGAAATGATGAAATTTGGAGGGAATTCGTGTGAACCTGATACATGAGGAGTGTGTGACCTGTTTAGCATCAAAAATCACTCAATCTTTGCGTTTCAAGGCTCTAATCCACTTTGGCAAGTTGGTTAAACATGTTTAGACCAAAAACACGTGCTAATTTGATGTTTAGAAGTCACAACATGAATTTCAAATTCTGAGTTGAAGTGAAACTTTAGTTTCAAGGTACCATTTTTGAATCAATGGCATTCACAACTCAATGAGTCTTAGGGCATGATTCTTGAAGCTTTAAAAAGATGATATCACAAGCTTTACAATGTGGAAATAATGGGATTTAATGGATGTTTGAGCTAAGAGTTGTGATGAGTCAAAGTTGAAAAAAAGATGTTGACTTTTATACTTAGAAAAATTTCAAGTTTTCTCTTCAAAAATGACTTGTAATTTTTTGAGCTCAAACAAGACATTCCTCCAAAATTGAGCTTTGATCGTTGATGCTAGATTGAAATAGACTTCCTAAAGAGTATTGTGAAACTAGAATCACTCAAAAACACCAAGTATTTAAAAATTTATGGTCTTGCAAAATTGGTGAAAATTCATGAGATGACCTATAATCTTTTGCATCCTTAGGACATCTTCCATCCGTTTTCAAGCTTTACACATAAAATAAGAGTTAAAGTTCACATACTTTTGATTATTTTGGAAAATGAATAGGCTCAAGGAGATAAAAATTGACCAAGTTATGATCTTTTTAGGTCACATAAGGGAATTTGATGGCTTATCTAGAAGACTTATAATCTTTCTTCATCATTAGGTATCTTCCACATAAAATTTTCTTGACACTTTTGAAGTGATTTGTTTATAACCCTTTTAATAGAAGCATGATTTTTAATCACTCAAAAATACCAAAAGATGAGCAAGATA